GCGGGTTCTTCCCCACCCCAGCGCCGAGGCTGCGGCTGTCACCTCTGCAGATGCCCAGAGTTTGTCACGGGGCTGTGTGAGCTAGAGAATTACGGAATCACAGAATCATTGAGCTGGGAAAAGCCCTCCAAAGTCACCGAGCCCAAGCAGTGACCCAGCCCAGACCGCTGAGTGCCACGTCCAGGGATGGGCACTCCAAAGCTCCTTGCACAGCCCCTTCCGAGGCCTGAACACCCTTTCCATGGAGAAATCCCTGCTGATGTCCAATCTAAACCAGCCCTGGCACAGTTTACGACCACGTCTTCTTGTCCTATTGCTGCTTACAGAAAAATCAACCCCTCACCTGGCTACAAGCTGCTGTCAGGTGTGTGTGGAATCATCTTTTACAAACCCACAACCTTGTTTCCATTCTCACGCCGAGTGAGGCAGTGTAAACAACTCACTGAAATGGGGAGATGCTCACAATCCTCCCGTCTGCACAGAAAAGAAACTGTTTTTTTCACTGCGGTTTCAAACTCTTGTCAAAGTCACAGGAAACGGCACAAGTGGAAGTAAAACGCGTAAGAAAATGATTCAGTTCAATGAAATCACTCGCCCCTGCTTCCCACACACTACACGTATCTGGCATTTTCTTCTGAGAGAAATCTGCTGCTGCCTTTTGGGGGAATCGTCCTGAAAGATTAATAGGTCATTAGAAAACCCATTCTGATAAATATTTCCCCTGGGTGTAACTCAGACTGAGCACACTGACACCATTTTATCAAGGCTTTCTGGCGTGTGGCAGCACCAGGTGTGAAAGGCCCCTCGCTGTTCTGTGGTGTTTACACACACACCCGGCTCATCCGCCTTGTGCCTCAGCAATCCCGAGTTTTGTTCCTTTTCTCCAGGAAATCAACCTGGGAGCAGCTGGTAGTCAGGTGCTGCTGGCCTGGGAGTGCACATGTCCAGGTGGTTGTAATTTACAAACTGGAGAAATAATCACTGATTCCATTTTTCCCCTCTCCCGAGAGGAATCCAGCCAGCCCTGTTTCCGCAGCCATCGGGGAACCAGCAGGGTGGGATCTGGATGATTTTGCACCATGATAACCTTTTTCCTCAGCTACATGGCCACTGGGTCTGGATTAACCACGCACTCTGGGAAAGCACTGGAGCCTCAACCTGTTTCCATCACTTTGGTCATCTCAAGAGTAGAAAAGAGCCTGAGGCTGGAAGAAGAGAGGTTAAACAGTGCAAATCATGGAATCATGGAAGGGTCTGGATTGGAAGGGACATAAAAAATCATCTGATTTCACACCTTGCCACTTTCCACTGTGCCAGGGTGCTCCAAGCCCCATCCAGCCTGGCCTTGGGCACTGCCAGGGATCCAGGGCAGCCACAGCTGCTCTGGGCACCTGTGCCAGGGCCTCACCTCCCTCCCAGGGAAGGATTTCCCCCCTAACTATTGCACTTTTATCTTCTTTTTCTGCTTTGGTCAGGATTAAATGAATAGAGATGGTATTTCATGTTCAGACTCCGATTAATTTTAGTTTATTAATTCTTATCTATATTGTAGTCTAATAAGTTGTGACTTCTACAGCAATTCACTGTCAAGCCACAAAATGGCCTCACATTTATCTTTATAAGGTCTTTTAAGGAAAAACTACCTAATAAAGAAATTACACTTAGATTATTTTTACTTTTAGCCTAATAACTAACCACTCGTGTTCTGCAATGTGGATTTTTCTATCTAATGACAAAATACCACCTACACTCATGAAGAAGGTGAAAAAGAAAGACCAGCCACCACCTTAAAACTTCCCTCTTGCCTTATATCTATTACTGTATTCTAAAACTTTACACTCTGAGTTTCCCACCATGTGATGTTACACACTTCTGTTCAAACTCCACCCCCACAATCCCAGTTCTGTCATTTAATTTTGGAAGCTTTCTCCACAGCCTCAGTGTTCTCTTGGGGGTCAGTGCCTGGCAGCACAGAAAGTCTGAAATTCTCAGCACCCAGGGTTCCAGCACCTAACATCTAACATGTGTGGATGTGCCATGGTTCCAGCACTGATCTCTTCTTGTTCCCTTTTCCCCACATTTTACCTGCAGCAGCTGCTTCCAACAATTCTCTTTCCTTCTCACCAGCCCTTTCTATGGCTTTGCCTTGATAAGGATAAAATCATTTTTCTTGGTGGGTTTTCATGCTGAAAACCACCCCAGATCTGCATTATTTGTGCCTTACAGGCAGGACTTGTTTCTCAGCACAGCAACTGATGCTGCAAAGGTTCTTAAATCCTGGAGCTGCCCAGCCCAGCCAAGGTTGTGACCAAGGATTGCATAAGGGGCTTAACCTGGGGCTGCTCGTGGAGCAGAGCAGCTTTACCTCTGCTCCATCTAAATCCATGCCCAGAGCCCAGGATCATGTCCAGGAATGACCCAAAGGCCACGTCCTTCAGCCAGAATTAAATCCTCACACACCTCACTTTAAAAAATACTGAGCTGCTCTGGCACTTGGATTTCACTGAAGCTGTGTGCTCAGTCTCCCAGTCCTGTCTGCCACGTGAGCTTTTGCCTTCTTTCCCTTGATTTTGGTTGTTCTGTGACATGAAACTGGGATGAAATCAATGTGCTTCTAAAAATTCCTCCAAGAACTATGTTAATAACAGGGGGGCATCTCCAGCCTGTACCCAAAATTGTCTGTGCTTACCACAACATTCCAGCCTATAGGAAGGATGCAATTTTGTATTAAAATTCTTAAAGTAGTTTTCTCTAAGGAATTAATCATCTGTAATTGTGGCTTTGTTTCTTGCTTAGAAAGAGAATAGGCTTGCAAACAGCTGCAGAAAAGTAAATAAAGAAAAATAAACATTTTTCCCCCCTCTAAGTACTGGGGTGCAGTGACACATCTGAAGAATTATTTTGTATCTTACATTCTTCTTTATTTTGCAAATTCCAGGATGCACTGATATTCTCCACAAAAAAAAAAAAAAAAAAAAA